AAATGCAGACAGGCATGTAGGTAGTAAAGATTTTGAACTTTTGAACTATTTCGTTCATCAAGATCTGTGTGAATAATGTCTCCCCTTACCTCATTGTGTATTTTATTATTGTATTTTATTATTTCTTTTTGTTCATAAAGGAACAGAAAGAAGATGCACATTTTGTGTTTATTATTATTGTTACTATTATTATCATTATTATTTTTACTGGTATCATTATATTTATTTCTTTATTTATTTGGGTTCATCTGAACACTAACAACATCACAGAAAACTAGTTCAGGTATCTTTTAGGACTTTTGAATCGCTCATGGTGGGCGTCTTTCCTCTGACCAGTAGCGAGCAGAGTGGCAATTGCTCATTGAATAAGACACATGCCTTTGGTGTGAGATTCCCAGGGTTGGTTCCCACTGCAACACATCCACTACTGTGTCCCTAAGCAAGACACTTAACCCCAAGTTGCTCCGGAGGCATGCGACCTCTGATATACACTCACCTAAAGGATTATTAGGAACACCATACTAATACTGTGTTTGACCCCCTTTCGCCTTCAGAACTGCCTTAATTCTACGTGGCATTGATTCAACAAGGTGCTGAAAGCATTCTTTAGAAATGTTGGCCCATATTGATAGGATAGCATCTTGCAGTTGATGGAGATTTGTGGGATGCACATCCAGGGCACGAAGCTCCCGTTCCACCACATCCCAAAGATGCTCTATTGGGTTGAGATCTGGTGACTGTGGGGGCCATTTTAGTACAGTGAACTCATTGTCATGTTCAAGAAACCAATTTCAAATGATTCGAGCTTTGTGACATGGTGCATTATCCTGCTGGAAGTAGCCATCAGAGGATGGGTACATGGTGGCCATAAAGGGATGGACATGGTCAGAAACAATGCTCAGTTGGCACTGGCACTAGGGGCCTAAAGTGTGCCAAGAAAACATCCCCCACACCATTACACCACCACCAGCAGCCTGCACAGTGGTAACAAGGCATGATGGATCCATGTTCTCATTCTGTTTACGCTAAATTCTGACTCTAACATCTGAATGTCTCAACAGAAATCGAGACTCATCAGACCAGGCAACATTTTTCCAGTCTTCAGCTGTCCAATTTTGGTGAGCTCTTGCAAATTGTAGCCTCTTTTTCCTATTTGTAGTGGAGATGTACCCGGTGGGGTCTTCTCCTGTTGTAGCCCATCCGCCTCAAGGTTGTGCGTGTTGTGGCTTCACAAATGTTTGCTGCATACCTCGGTTGTAACGAGTGGTTATTTCAGTCAAAGTTGCTCTTCTATCAGCTTGAATCAGTCGGCCCATTCTCCTCTGACCTCTAGCATCAACAAGGCATTTTCGCCCACAGGACTGCCGCATACTGGATGTTTTTCCCTTTTCACACCATTCTTTGTAAACCCTAGAAATGGTTGCGCGGGAAAATCCCAGTAACTGAGCAGATTGTGAAATACTCAGACCGGCCCGTCTGGCACCAACAACCATGCCACGCTCAAAATTGCTTAAATCACATTTCTTTCCCATTCTGACATTCAGTTTGGAGTTCAGGAGATGACCAGGACCACACCCCTAAATGCATTGAAGCAACTGCCATGTGATTGGTTGATTAGATAATAGCATTAATGAGAAATTGAACAGGTGTTCCTAATAATCCTTTAGGTGAGTGTACATAGCACATGGTGAAAAGCATCAGCTAAATGTTAAGCAAATGTAGTTCTGTGTCTCTGCATCTCTTGCTTGAGACATCTTTGTTCTGTTTGGGGCTCTCTCACTATTCCAAGATGCTCCCATCTGTAGTGAGTGTGAGCTGCACTGAAATAAAAAATTTGTGTGGATTCGTGGTGAGATTTATGCACTGTAAAAAAAAAAATCTGTAATTTTAAAATTTCATTCCTTTTTATTTCAGTTTTTTCTTGTATTTTTGAAATACATGAAAAAATCAGAAAATTGCTAAATTAAACTGTGAATTTACATGTCTATGTAAAATAACATGAAAAACCTGTAGCTGTGATTAACCATAACATTTATGTTATTTTAACATAAAGTTTTTTTTGACATAAATAAACTGTTGCAATACATTCAGGAATTTCCAGTATTTTCATGAATATTATTTTTATTTAAAGAAAAAACTGTTAAAAATAAGTTTAATACTGTGAAAACATTTCTTAAACTTGATACAATTAGTAACAGTTAACCATAACAAAAAACATTTGTTCTGTAAATTGACATAGATTTTCTTATTAATTGACAAATATCCTTTAATTATGGATATTTGGAAAACAGACATTTACATTTAGCTGACGCTTTTATCTAAAGCAACTTGAGGTTGCACGTGGATGGGTCACAGTGGGGGATTGAACCCAGGTCTCTCACACCAAAGGCATGTGTCTTATCCATTGCGCCAACACCACCCAACAGACCTTTTAAAGTACTACCACAAAACAAAAGTCACACATCTGATACTATTTACAGACCATTTATTCAGTTCCATGCTCACAACAAATAAGCCACACAAGTCAAACATTTCAGTGTAAAGAATTGTTCTCCTGAAACAACAGTAGTTTAGTTTTTATATACCTTATTGATGACATTTTCAGATCTATTCATTAGAAACCTAATTGGGTCAAATTAAAGAATATTTTGGATACTGTTAGACACAGCTCCAAGATTGGGTCGCTCTCAGGAGCTCAGTGAATTCAAGCTTGGTACCTGTGCAATAAGTCCATTTGTTAAATTTCCTTACTACTAAATATTCCAAGGTCAACTGTTAGTGGTTTTATAAATATATTATTTAAGTAAGTGGAAGTGATTTGGAACAACAGAAACTCAGCCTTGAAGTGGTAGGCCACATAAAATCACAGAGTGGAGTCGGCGCCTCTGAAGAAGCTGCCAACTTTCTGCAGTCAAGAGCTACAGACCTCCTTCAGATAGCTCTAGAAGAGTGCGTAGAGAGCTTCATGGAATGGGTTTCCATGGCCGAGCAGCTGCATCCAAGCCTTACATCACCAAATGCAATGCAAAGCGTCGGATACATGGTGAAAAGCACGGCGCCACCAGTGGAGACGTGTTCTCTGGAGTGACGAATCACGCTTCTCTGTCTGGCAATCTGATGGATAAGTTTGGGTTTGGCGGTTGCCAAGAGAATGGTACTGGCCTGACTGCATTGTGCCAAGTGTGTAAAGGTGTGCTTTTCAGGGGTTGGGCTTAGCCCCCTAGTTCCAGTGAAAGGAACTGTTAATGCTGCAGCATACCAAAACATTTTGGACAATTTCATGCTCCCAGCTTTGTGGAAACAGTTTGGGAATGGCCCCTTCCTGTTCCAACATGACTGCGCACCAGTGCACAAAGCAAGGTCCATAAAGAGATGAATAAGCGAGTTTGGTGTGGAGAACTTGACTGGTCTGCACAGTCCTGACCCCAACCCGGTAGAACACCATTGGGATGAATTAGAGCGGAGACTGCGAGCCAGGCCTTCTCATCCAACATCTGTCCCTGACCTCACAAATGCCCTTCTAGAAGAATGGTCCAAAAGTCCAATGAACCCATACACAAAGCGGATTACCAGTTTTAGAACAGTATTTTGACAGTATTTTTTTTTTATTAAAGGAAAATCTAGTAGAAAATCTAGTATTTTTGCAAATTTTTACAATATATATTGATTGCATTAACAAGATTTTTATGTGAAATTCTATAATAAAACTCAATTAAAAGCAGCACTCTACTATAAATTTTAAGCCTGATTATTTGTATTATAGCAGTGTTCAACTATATTTAAAGGTAATTTAATTGTTTTTACAGGTGTATATGTTCTTATTTAAACAATAAAAGCCCCAAAAATTGCACAAGATTTTATGTAAAATTAAAGTAAATATTACCATATTTTTACGAGTGGGTTATTTACTGTTATTTTACGGTATTTCTCTGGCGTCCCAGCTGCCAGGATATTTCCGTTTTTTCACCTTTTTTTTTTTAAACAGTGTGCCTGATCAGAAGTGTTTTCATTTAGTTTCGATTTTTGGGGATATCAGATCAGATTTTTAGGTGCCATGTGCACATTTGAAGAGATTGCTTGCCCAAACAAAAGACACAAAAAGGAGAGAAGACTAAATCATGTGTGTTGACTGAACAAGGATGATATTAAATGAGAAAAGTTCAGCTACAGGAGAAACATGTATATTAAATAAAGACATTTCCACCATAAATTGATGCAGAAAAAGCATAAATTGGTAGAGATAATGTCACCAAAATGCAGGAAATGTTTATGTCTCAAATTTTCCTTGGGGAGAACCCCCAATTGATTAGATGATGGTTGTTATTATGTTATAACTATTAGTTGCAAAAAAAATAATAATAATAATACATTTAGACTATGTAAATGCTGAGTCAACTGTCTGGTACAGATTTAGGAAGGTGAAGATTATATTGTAGACTTACCGTGGTGGTGTGGGGGGTGCAATGTGGTCTGGGTAACGCCTCCAGTGTTTCAAGATCCTAACAACACCCCTGTTGACCATTAAGTGCTGTGTAAATAACAACAGACAGATTGTTTTCTGTTGTCAAAATCATGCAGTCTATTTCTGCCAACTCCCAGGGGGAGGATAGAGAGAATCTGGAAGCGCTGTCTTGGGCTTCTAACTGTCGGTATTAATGCCGAATACAATAGTACTTTTGAATATGTACGTGAGTGATAGTATGTCAACCCCTGTGGTTTGTTCTTTTGCTCAGTTCTACTAAAAAAGACATCTACGAAGATGAACAATCTGGAGTTGCTCCATAACTAATTAATAGTAGTTTCTTAACACTTTAAAATGTTTAAAAGGTGTCTTATTAAACAGTTACATTAACACCACTGCAAAGAAAAAGGTTCTAATGGTATCTAAGGATCTCTGCACAAGTAAATAAAATCCCCAAAAGAAAAAAAACAGGTATAATTATTTTTTTGCTTTATGTATTTATTTATTTTTTTGCTTTTCCATTTGCCAGAAAGCTATACTTCTTTACTAAAAAAAAAAGAAACAAGTATTTGCTGTACAAATTACAATGGCTCTCAGTTTTTTTCCAAAAGGGAGAACATGGAGGTCTATGCAGGAGACACAGAGGAGACCTCTGTCTTTGATGTGGATACTTCAGAGCCATCCTCCCCTTCTTTGCCAAAGAGCTGCATGATGCATGATCGGAACTGTAAGGTACAGAATAAGAAAGCATTTTAAAAATATATAAACCAAACATGTTTGATTTAGATGTGATTAATGTGGCAAGGATACCGCTGTGCCCACCTGTCGGTTCATGAAGATATAGATGACTGGGTTCCAGATAGTGGCGCTTTTGGCAAAGTATGCAGGCATGGCGGCAGCCAGAGGATGGAAGGGATACCCGGGGTAAGCCGTGCCAAAGCAGACGAAAAAGGTGTAAGGTCCCCAGCAGAAACAATATGCAAAGATCATGACAACAACCATCCTGGAAACTTCTCTCTCAGCTTTCTGTGTTGACTCTGATTCCTTCTGCTGCATGGCAACCTGCGGTCGACAATCCAACACAGTGTGAGATTCTGCCAGACTGTGGTCTATACCAGGCTATATAAAGTACAGAACTGCAGGTAAGATAACTTACAGCACGGACAGCCATCCAGACTGCAAGGTAGCAAAAGACGATGACACCCAGAGGAATGATACAACATGTTATCATAAGAACAATCATGTAGGATACACATCCAGGATCTTCATTTCCACTGAATACATCAGGTCCACAGGAAGTCTTCAGTCCATGAGGCCAGTACCTGATGCAAGAAAACGTTTAGTTTACATTCCTACTGATTAGTGGGTTAAAATCAAGGGCAACTGGACTTGGTTGAAGATACTCAAAGACATTTCATCTCCCTATCTTTTTTGAAGATATAAAACACCAGGCTACCTGCTCCATCCGAAGAGGGGGGGGGCACAACAGAGTGCCGACCAGACCCAGGTGAACACTATTCCACCAATGGCCCACTTTTCATCAAACTTGACATTTCCAAAAGGTTTGCACACAACTATCCATCTCTCCCATGAGATGACAGTCAATGACCAAAGACCAGCGATGCCTGTGTAAGAAATCAGGATCCTCAGTAAATGTGTTTATTCACATCCTGATTAGGTATATCATTACACAATGGTCTCAAACACTTTTCCATCAAAGATGGAAAACACTTACCACAAGTTGCGACAGTGAAGCCCTCAAACTTGCACATTGGGTGTCCCAGAATGAAGTAGCCAAAAAACTGGTTGCATATACTGATGTTGCTGGCAATAAGTGTCTCAAGAAGATCAGCAATGGCAAGATTGACCAAGATCCAGTTCAGAGGGTGACGGAGTTTCTTGAACTTTGCTGTGGCCACCAAGACCAGACCATTGGTGAAGGTTGATAAGACGACCACACAACACATCCAGAGTGTTGAAATGTTGTAAACCCATCGAGGAGCAATGTGGTAATTGGGACCCTCAAAGGGACCTAGGAGAAAAAACAAAACAAACAATCTCACATAAAGTCAAAGTTTAGAATCTCATGTGGTCTCACAAGTTCACATTGTCTTATTTTGTACAGTATTGGAAGCAAGACAGTAGACTACTTGCTCATAGTTATTATTTTCTATACAATACTGTACATTTTATGAGACTTGGTCTCAAATTTGGTCTCTATGGTCAATATGTTCCTGAACAGTAGCTGACAGTCAGCTTATGTTGGTTTTATTATTTACAGATATAATAATAAGCAAAAAAGCTCATTACCTCACTCAGAATTCCAAAATTCTATTTTTAAATTGTAAACACGAATTAAGAAAAACAGTTTTTGCAGTGCCTCATATAATTAGCATCCCATCATATTTCTAATGCATTCTAGGTAAATAAATTAAATGAAAATACTGTACCTCTGGTATTATTGCTGTTTGTGTAAGTAAACATAGATTCCCTTGTTGTTTCTTCATGGTGGCGCCGAGCAGCAAAAACCTGTTTTCCCCACTCTTCTGCCATTCTCTTCTCAGGAGGTCCTCAGCAGTCAGCTTGTCACTTGGAACCTCCTTAGGTGACTGGTGCTACACATCTGATTTTGGCTTTTATACTTATGCTTCACAGACTCTTGATAGGATTAGGTCACAATCAAATTACAGTCAAAGTGTGCTGCTTGGCAGTAATTCTCAGCGTTAAAGCAATAAACTTATTTTGTTCTGTAATTAAAACTAATCACTTAATTAGGCTAAGGCACAAAATAGGATAAGATGATTCTTGTCTGCGTTTGGTTGTCCGTCTGCTAAATGGATATGTGGAAAGGCTATAACACCGTTGATGTGGATAAGCTAAAAAAGATATAAGCGAACCATAATTTTTATTTGTTTCCTGCTGCTTCCTCCGGTTTTATCAATTTATTAGATGTGTAAAGATGTAGAAATGAGAGTTCACCCCAACACAAACATTTATTTTTCTGAATGCTTCTTTTTGTATGAAGAGGAAATCTGGACTGTAAACAATACAAATGTAGCCATTACCTAACATTTAAGTGCACAGACCTTGGCAGGTATGCAGATGAACCTTGGTAGACACATGAGGCCAAGCAAGTCTTATGGTTAGGGTCAGTTAAGTTCCACAGATTTGACTGAGGTTGTCTCAGGTGATGACATGAGGGAAGTAAGACACCTTTAATTCCTCATAGAATAGGGCACACTGCAGGCAAAGTCACATGGCAGAATGCCTAATACCTAAGAGGAAGATTTTTGTCTCTATCAAATCTTTGGTGGTTAGGCTTAAACAAGATTATAAGTAAATGTGACATCCTAGTGGTGACACAGGAACAAGAAAAAGTTGCCTGTCATTTACAGTCATAGTGAAACTTTCTAACATTACATTGCTGGCATTAGTTTATATATTTGCAGTGCGGCAGCTGTGTCCAGCAAAAGCTGTTTAGAGGATAAGAGGAGTGATTACCAGAATTTTTCCACTCTTCCAAACTTACTTAGTGTCTTTAATTTCATCAAATTTTTTAGTTACCCAGCCTTTTGTCTCCAATTCTGCATGACGTTTTTATGAAACCACAGCCAGCTAATGTTATCAAGTATGTGGGACAAGTGAAAGGACTTATTCTTAAAAGGTTACATTTGAGGAGTTTCAATACCACCTGCTTACAGAAAAAGAAATGCTGCTTCAAATTTATTTGTCCACATTTAGGAACCAACCCAGTAATTCATTAATTCTCAGGCTGGCCAATTACCTTTTTGAGGTCAAGCCTATGGTCACATGCATGCATATTCAGTCATGGCCAAATATATTGTCACCTCTGCATGTCTGTCACATAATATACTATTTCTTCCAGAAATTTGTTGCATCTACAAATGCCTGGATATTCTTATGTTTATTTATTTTGTTTGCATTGGAACAACACGAATAAAGTAGAGAAAAAAAAGCCATCAATGAGTTTCTTAAACCTCTTTGCAAGAATTTTGGACCACTGTTTTCTTTTCTTTAAAGGCTTCATTTCGTTTTCTCAAAACAGAAGAATAATGTGCTTTATCAAAAAGCTCTATTTTAGTCTCATCTGTCCACAGGACATTCTCCCAGAAGGATTTTGGCTTTTTCAGGGACGTTTTGGCAAACTCCACTCTGGCTTTTATGTTCTGTGTCAGCCGCCACCTGGGTCTGCCAGTCAGCCTGAATTTGTTTGTAGGTTGATAGAGGCGCTTTATCCACTACTCAAACAATCCTTCGTTCCTTCACGGAGATTAGCTGCAGTGCCATGGGCTGTAGACCTCTTCACAGTGTTGCACACAGTGGATGAAAGGGACATTAAGATCTCTAGAGATGCACTTGTAGCCTTGAGATTGTCAGTGCTTTTCCAAAACTTAGGTTCTCAAATACTCAGCCACCTCAACACACAGACACATAACACAAAGTTTAAGTCAACCTTTCTCCATTTTAACTGGTTGTATGTGTGATTTCTATATTGCTAGGATGTGCGAAATGCTGCCGGTGAGTTTAATTACAAATTAAAGGAGCATCACATGCTTAAAATACAATGATTTCTGAAGATTTTTTAAAGGTACCACTAATTTTGTCCAGTCCATTTTTGGAGTTCTGTGTGGAAGGTCTCAGATTTGGCTCTTTTTGTGCATCTACAATGTAAAATAATTAAATAAATAAACCAAAGTAATAAAATACCAAAGTATTTGTTATTGCAACAATTTTCTGGGAGAAGTAGTCAATTACGTGACAGACATACGGGGGTGCCCAAATATTTGGCAATGACTGGCAGGCTGTACAATACGGCACTATGATATAAAGTAGGCTAGAATTATACAGCATAATTTGTTTATTGTCTAAGATCATCACTTGCTGCTAAAATCTTCTAAGGAAAAAATAACAGCAGTCTATGGGCTTTACACACACTGATGACAGTTATCTCATCTGTCAGCTGTCATCAGTCATCTGTAATGAATGAACTCAATCCGAAACACATAAATGGATTAAGTGCCTGTACCTTTCCTTAACTTCTTGGTCTCAAACTTGGCAATAAAATCCTGGTAATCCAGCTTGGATGCAAGATGAATTCAACTGACAGAAGGGCAACCTACTTAGTCTGTCCTGATACATGGGGTGTGCAAATAGTTTAATTAGTTTCAACTTAGAAAACCTGTATTCGCCTGATGCCACCATCACTTGGTCAATAGGATGCTGAGCGCAAACTTATAGCTGGGGTAAGTTCCTTCAGTCCTTTTGAGGAAACGAAGAGCATTCATGAAAAATATGTTTTTGCAGTGGTTCTAATTAAAGTACCCTGTTATATGTATACGTTTGACTTACTCGTACTTCACGTGAGTATGTGAATTTTCTACTTTAAGTCATTTTAAATTAAATTAAATTATGTTTTACTCCACTATTTGAGAGCTAGTAGTAAGTAATTATTTTGCAGATTAATATATTACACAAATGTAGGACATGATTTGTTTTGAAAATAGAATGCATATATATAGATTCAACTATCCAACAGTTTGTATAATTGATATTAACTCCACCTTAACCTGACACAACTTTAAAAAGTTGCTTACATGTTAAAGCATCATTTTCAGTTCAATATTCCAATAATAGGCTTTATTCCATTGGATTCAGTAACAGGCCTATATTTTCTTTTGTTTTTGCCAACTTTTTTTGAAAAGCATGCATGAGGTATTCCAGTTAAGGTAATAACAGTTTTTGGTCAGAGTACATTGCATCAGAACAAAGCAGTGAAAATGTTCTGGTATTACATATGTCTGGGCCATATGCGGGCTTAAAAATGATGTTGTCACTTGTTCAACCCCTTTTCACCCCTCGTTACATGCAGGTTCTGAAATCAGCACCGGTGTTATGCCGAGTTTTGCCTGCCTGCCCAGAATTGCATTGCACCTCCAAATAATGCTTTTAAACGCTGTAATATTCTTTGTGGGCTTCAACAATGGTGATAAATGATTCGAAGTATATATTTTATGAACGTTTAGAGTCTTTAATATTTTAATACACTTTGTAGAAGTACCATTCCTTGACATTCAGTAAATATATGTGGTGATAATGCTGTTTCATCAATGAGCACAGCAAAGTGTCTGAGAAGGACCCAAAGAGGTGGATGCATAATTCGGCAGATCAAATTTTGTAGGCTACCTGCCAAGATTTGCATCCACCTCTTTTCTCAGCATAAATGACCGTGAGGTGCATGCAATTCTCGGCAGACAGGCAGAATTCGGCACAACACCGCCAACAAGCTAAATGCATCTTAACTGTTGGCAACGATGGTTGATATCTAGCGCCAAGACACATGTAGTAAGGATAGCGTATTGTAGTGATTGGCGCATGCGCCTGCACACCCACCTGACTGGGGAATCTCTGTGGTGGCGTTGTAAACAAACTCACCAGTGGAAGAGGCACGGTCCGTCCTGAGTGACAGATTAGTTTGCCAGCAGCACACCGCGGACTCCGGGAGGTAAGATTTTGTCGGAGAATCTATCAAGTTTGTCGTTTTGACCAAGACTTATCACTTGGTTTTATTTTATAAATCTTTGTTGTTGAAACTTTTTTGTTTGCTTGCTGGGATTCAGAAGAGGAGGTATTTGTTGGTATTTGGATTATTGTGGAGATTTGAACGGATATAAGGACTGAGATTGGTAGTGGAACTATGGGTTTTATATTGAGCACTCACTGTAGAGCCCACAATGTGGGGAACTTACGTTTTTGTCTCTGTAGGTACCTTTTAAATACCTGGTTGTTAGAAATTGTTAAACATGGTGAAGTGATTGTCATGTACTAAAAGACATGGGTCATTTGTGCATGCAAACATGCATGTAGGCCCAATCTTTTTGAGTTGGTTAAATATATTGAAAATTGATTGACAACATTTTTCTTTTTACATGAAATGATGCCAAAATGAGCTAATTGTTATTCCTTCGTTTAGTATACATATTTCAATTTTAACAACAAAAAATTTTTGTTGCGTTTTTGCCATATAATTTTGGACAGACATTTGTGCTTTAAATAATTTTGGGGATTCTGTAACTTTTCATGAAGCACCATCATCAAATTAACATTTCAATTTGTCCATTTGGTTTCTAATTAAATTCCTACAAAACTGCTGACAGTCCATCAGCCTCAGCTGTACTTTGTTAAATGCAAACAAAAGAACTTAAAAGCCATATACTGTGCTTCCATTGCAAGATGGTGAAATCATGCTGTAAAGAAAATGTTATGTTGTTTTCTTCATATTGGCACTGAGCTTAATTGATGCACCTCAGATGTAAGTTCTGTCATGAAAAGGTTTTATGCATTTGGAAATTATAATTTCTTAATATTGTTTTAGCGTTTATCCAGTGAATAATAAAATGTATTGAATTTCATAAAGAATTAACTCAGTTTCACTTAACATTTTACTTAGGACAAAAGAAGGTACTTTTGAGAGTAGCAGCTGTCATAGCAGTGTGTTTTGGCACCCACAGCAATCTGGATCATGCAGGTGAAGCTTTCCAATTTCGCAGATCAAATAAGATTAGAGGGACACCTCAGGCTTTCCCACTAAATTGATTGGCTCAGTTACCTTTGGCATGACCTAAAATGTCTCCGTGACAGTTCACATAAGGAACAGCAGCGATGTTTCAGTGCTTGTCTCAAGTGCAGTTCCCTCAAAGGAAACCGCCTCACAGATTTGTTAAGACCCCAAATACTATATTGTTTTGGGGGGGATTTTTTACACCTCTTGACTCCTACTTCCATGTGGTGCTTTGATGTTTTGAAGGTAGATCTGGAATTCCCCTAGTTCTGAACTATTCATGTTTGTTAAAAGCTCACTACTAACAGAAATCAGATTTGCTTCCGACTGCCAACAGGAATCTCCATAACTAGTTTTCACACTTGTACATGTGTAAGTGTTGTTATTACCAGAAGCTTCTTGTTGTCTCTTTTCTTTACTCTCCAGCACAGATAACTCCTGATGGCCAAAATCTCAGAAGCATGCAAATAATTCTTGCCTAAAATGAATGTGATGCGTGTTTGTCCGCCAGCTATGAACTCTTTTGGAATTTAATTTTTGTAACACACAGAAGACAATCCACAAATGTATACTATGATTCACAAATATTTCACTATTCACAAATGTCTATTTTTACATTGTCTTGTGCAAAATCATATCCACAAAAATACAGAGAAATGTCAGTTTTTACACTTTTGAGGATCACTTTGTGTCTATTTGTTACCTCTATATGTTATGTTTGTGACTTCCATTTTACGCATTTGTGGAATTTTGTCCAATGTGTACCGCAGAGAACTGTAAAAAGATTTACACAAATTTCTCACTACTCAAAGCATGTATTTTTACATTTGTTCTATGTGAAATCACATCCACAAAAATACAGTGCCATTTGCAAATATGCACAATTTAATCTGTACATGCATATTTTTATTTCACATACAAATATATTATATATATTATATTATATTTATATTTATAAACTTTGTGGGCCCAATTCTACACACAAACTGTTTTTACAGATTTGCAGAGTGCTTCCTGTTAATTTTTAGGCCATGTTACATTTGTAACCTCCTTTCATCCTATCTGTGAATTAGGAAGCAGTTTACTAGCTGCACCAGCAGGGGGACACAGGAGTTGACAGGATGTCCACTGCACTACTCAGCGTCATGCTCATCTGTAGGAGACAACAAGGAAATGGACTGTAGCCCGGTTTCAGCTAAACCAGCTCCTGACCCTGGACTGGGTTCATCCTTGTCATCTGCAGGTAAGTCTGCTGTACAGTTTGCTAACTGAGTGTAACCGGCGGTGAGTTATTTGTGTTACGTTAACCCACGTTACATAACAAGCTCACATTAGTTCATGTCGAGAGATTGTATGGATTTCACAATAATTGGTCATTCACTCTACAACTGGAATTAAAGTTGCAAGCAGTGTTGGATGGGGGGAGGTCGGGAGACATTCCTCTCAATTATCATGCGTTTCAAAACGGTCATGAGTTAATCGTGACTTCCTGTGTCCCCAGTGTGACACTAGTGAACACCTGCTAATTATATGTTGTGTACCAGTACGTTAAGTGTGGATGACTTTGTGAAAATGCCATACATCAAATTGTTTTTGTCACAAAGGGCTTACTTCCTGTTGCCAGCATGTGATGCTTCAGGGTGTGACCCCTATCAAACATTTGAAATTTGGTAGCAATATGATTATGTGCATTGAAGTAACAAAAACTTCCTGTTTGATGGCAAATAATCGAAAAATTTAGTAGTAGTATCTAATCAGTTGTTACTAGTAAAACGGGAATAGTTACTAGTAGCTAATGGAATAGTTACTAGTAACTAATAAATAAGTACTAGTAGATTACAAATAGCAACTCGTAAGTTTAAAGGAATAAATGTTAAAATGGCTTGCCATAGTTCTACCATATATTACTGAGCCTTTTCCCTTCTGTGTCCCTCAGCAGCACCGTGGCCTCATTCTGTCCAAGCTGATACTGCACTCTACATAGTATTGTATTTACTATTGAATACTTTATCACTGTATGCGTCTGAAAATTGTTTTTGTAGAATACAGTCTTGTATTAGGTTGCTACTAAAGTTGTACCGTATGCATTAATTTATGTTCAAATTATGTTACACCTTCTTGTCAGAGCTGTTACAAAAAGTTGAAAATCTACGGAAGCCCTAAGCAGCCATCCATTCAAATATTTTTGTACTCCGTATTCACGTGATAACGAGATTATTATGTCGATTTCTCGAGATAGCAAGTGTTGTTTTCTTGTGATAACGGGATAACTATTTTGAGATCTCGAGATACTTCAGTAAAAAGCTGTATTCTATAAAGACCACTCAGGAATACTGCATTTCAATTACAATATATTTTGATGTGAAATAATCACATACTTTGATGTGAAATTTAAATACAAAAATACAATCGGTACAACCAGTTTCAAAACATCAGTTCCTACAAGTAACTCACCACAGGTAACACTCAGTTAGCAAACTGCACAGCAGACCAGATGAGCATGACCCTGGGTAGTGCAGTGAATGTTGCTGTCTCCCCCTGCTGGTGCAGCTAGTAAACTGCTCTCAAACTCAAACAAAACAGATATCTTTTTACAGATCTTAGTGGAAGACACTGGACAAGATTCCATAGATGTGTGAAAAGGAACTAACAACTGTTACCTGACATGCAAATTAACAGGAAGCAATCTGCAAATGTGTAAAAACTGGCACAGGGTTAACACTGCTAATACAAAGTTAGAAACGTGTAGAAAACCGGCACTGCACAGCAGACTCTCACAGCAGACAGCAGAACTAGAAATGACCAGATACTGAGTCTTGAGCGCTCAGATCAATATGAGATCAACATGATCTTTGTGCTGGTTGAAACCATGCAAAAGTCATTCTTCTACAGTTGTTCTACAGATGAGGATGACAGTAGGTAACTTTTAGTTTAGTGGAAAATCCAACTCATGAGAGAGGTCATGTTGCTGCTGACACCTGCTGGTGTAGCTTTTAAACTCCCTCATACTTAAAGATATCTTTTTACAGATTTCAGCCCTACACATTGGATAAAATTCCACAAATGCATAAAAGGGAAGTCACAAATGCAACGTTAACAGGAAGTGATCCATAAATGTGAAAAAAATGTTTTGTATGTAGAAATGGATCCACAAATGCCTACCACTTTGTATGTGAAATTTAAAAAAAGTAAGAGTATATTGTGCATATTTGCAAATCACACTGTATTTTTGTGGATATGATTTTACACAAATCCATGTTTGTGGGTAGTGTGAGATTTGTCTACAGATTTCCACAGGAAACATTGGACAAAATTCCACAATGTGTAAAAGGAAAGTCACAAATGTGCAAAAACTGTTAATGGGTACAAATCACTTTTTTGTGGACAGGATTTTACACAACACAATTGTAAAAATACGTATTTGTGGATCATAGTACACATTTGTGGATTGTCTTCTGGGGGTTACAAATAATAAATTCCAATAAAATCATCCATACCAAAGCTATTTAGTGAATCAGATGAGTGTATACCTGAATTTGTTCCACTCATGCAAACTTAAGTTGTCACAAACCAGTTGTGACCCCTGTCCAGTGACAGCTGGTGTTTTTAGAGCTGTTGGGCAGGGTCTCTGGGTCCCTGGGCTGGTGCTCCCACACAGTAGGCTAATCTTCATTCGCGCAGCTTCCCTGCATTACTGACAATCACCAACTTTACTTAAGATCAGGCCAGCTTTCCAGTCCCCGCCCGATCATTGTTTCATTTGAGTATGCTCATGCGTCATCCACCTTGTCTGTCATTTCAAAACCTGCTAGTTCCAATATCTGTTCTGATTGACTGTTGTCTTGTTGAACACAGGTAAATGTACATATTCTTAACAGGTCACATTTGAAAGGATTTTAACACCAAACACCCAATAGTCATTCCAAAAAAAAAAGAAATGTCGCTTGAAATATACTAGTCAACATTTAAGAACTAATCCTTCTCTTTTCAAAATAGAATTAGGCTTTTAGGTCAACCCTAACCCTAGTCTGGATCTATGGCAGTCTGTACAATACAGTACTATTGTACATTGTCTAAAATTGTTGCTATAGTCTTTCAAAGTAAAAAATAACTTAACTAAACTGTGGGCTTCACACACATTGTCATCTCATCAATAAAACCATCTGTTATCTGTAATTCAAAGAAAGCAGACAGACTCAGTCCAGTGCACATAAATGGATTAAGTGCACATCCCTTTCACTGCATGTTACATTGTGAAAATGTCTAAGTTAACAGAGAGATTGTTTCCTATTCCAGCACCCCCCACCCCCCACCCCCAGTGATAAGCAAAATGTTTATGGTTCTAAAGGTATAACGATTTCTTCATCAGTACTTATAAAAATCACCAAAAGACAACTTTTAATATGATTGATTTTTTTAATGTTCATCTGAAAAAAATACCAGATATAATGATTAATTGCTTTATGTTTTTTTTTTTGTTTTTCCATTTGCCAGAAAGCTATATTTACTAAAAAAAGAAGAAGAAAGAAACAACAACTATTTACTGTACAAATTAAAATGGTTCTCAGTTTTTTTCCAAAAGGGAGAACATGGAGGTTTATGCAGGAGACACAGAGGAGACCTCTGTCTTTGATGTGGATACTTCAGAGCCATCATCTGCTTCTTTGCCAAAGAGCTGCATGATGCATGATCGGAACTATAAGGTACAGAATAAGAAAACATTTTTAAAATATAAACCAAACACATTTGATGTAGATATAGAAATGTGATCACTGTGACAATGAGACTGCTGTGCCCACCTGTCGGTTCATGAAGACATAGATGACTGGGTTCCAGATGGTGGCGCTCTTGGCAAAGTATGCAGGCATGGAAGCAGCCAGAGGATGGAAGGCATACCCAGGATTAGCCGCAGCAAAGCAGGCGAAAAAGGTGTAAGGTCCCCAGCAGAAACAATATGCAAAGATCATGATAACAACCATCCTGGAAACTTCTCTCTCAGCTTTCTGTGTTGACTCTGATTCCTTCTGCTGCATGGCAACCTGCGGTCGACAATCCAACACAGTGTGAGATTCTGCCAGACTGTGGTCTATACCAGGCTATATAAAGTACAGAACTGCAGGTAAGATAACTTACAGCACGGATAGCCATCCAGACTGCAAGGTAGCAAAAGATGATGATAGCCAGAGGAATGAAACAACATGTAATCATAAGAACAATCATGTAGGACTGGACTCCAGGATCTTCACTTCCACTGAATACATCAGGTCCACAGGAAGTCTTCAGTCCATGAGGCCAGTACCTGATGCAAGAAAATGTTTGGTTTACATTCCCACTGATAAATTCACAACTCAGGTTTTGGAAGATATAAAACACCAGGCTACCTGCTCCATCCGAAGACGGGGGGAGCACACCAGATTGCCGACCAGACCCAGGAGAACACTATTCCACCTGTGGCCCACTTTTCATCAAACTTGACATTTCCAAAAGGTTTGCACACAACTATCCATCTCTCCCATGAGATGATAGTCAGAGACCAAAGACCAGTGATGCCTGTGTAAGAAATCAGGATACTCAGTAAATGTGTTTATTCACACCCTGATAATTAATGTCTTGACAAACTGTTCCTAAATACTTTAACATCAAAGATGAAAAACTGTGAACACTTACCGCAAGTTGCGACGGTGAAGCCCTCAAAGACGCACATTGGGTGTCCCAGAATAAAGTAGCCAAAAAACTGGTTGCATACACTGATGGTGCTGGCAAGAAGTGTCTCTGCGAGATCAGCAACGGCAAGATTGACCAAGATCCAGTTCAGAGGGTGACGGAGTTTCTTGAACTTTGCTGTGGCCACCAAGACCAGACCATTGGTGACGGTTGATAAGACGACCACACAAAACATCCAGAATGTTGCGAGGTTGTAAGTCCACCGAGGAGCAATGTGGTAATTGGGACCCTCAAAGGGATCTGGGGAAAAAACAAAACAAACAGTCTCAAGTGGCACAATTTAGAATCTCATGTGGTCTCACAAGTTCACATTGTCTTATTAGGTATTGGAAGCAAGACAATACACTACTTCCTCATAGTTAAATAAGACCAGATAATTGTTATAATTTTGGATACAATACTGTACATTTACAGTATTGACAGACAGTTAAACTTGGTCTTTTGGAAAATGAGAATTTATATTATTCAATGGTGTAAAGTGCAAAAATATGCAGATGTCCTAAATCTAGTTTAAAAAAGGAAAACAAAAATTGGCAAAAGATGTTCATGAGATAATTAGCATGCCCATCATATTATTCATGCATTCTCTGTAGAAAAGAAAGAAAAAATTAAATAACAATACTGTACCTCTGGTATTATTGCTGTTTGTGTAAGCAAAGGCATTTCCTCTTGTTGTTTCTTCATTATGGCGCCGGGCAGCAAATACCTGTTTTCCCCACTCTTCTGCCATTCTGATCTTAGGAGGAGGTCCTCAGCAGTCAGCCTTTCTTGTCACTTGGAACCTCCTTAGGTGACTGGTGCTTCACATGTGATTTTAGCTTTTATACTTATGCTTCACAGAGTCCTGAAAGGATTAGGTCACAATCAAATTACAGTCAAGGTGTGCTGCTTGGCAGTAATCCTTAGCGGTAAAGCAGTAAACGTAATTTGTACTGTAATTAAAGCTAATCAGTTAATTAGGTTAAGGCAAAAAATAGAATAGGTTGAATCCTGTTTGCGAGCGGATGTCTATCTGCTCAATTAAAATGTGGAATAGCTAAAACACCTTTGGTGTAGATAAGCTGCAACAGCTTTGACAAAGTGTTGAGCCTTTATTTTTATTTGTTTCCTGCTGCAGTATTTAGTTTTATCTTTTTATTAGATCTGTGACTGTGTTGAATGAGAGCTTACCACAACACAAACAATATTCTTTCTAATTTTGTATAAAAAGAAATTTGGACCATTAATAACCTTTAAGAACTGTGAACAGGACTTGACAGGTATGCAGATAAACCTTGGTAGACACAAAAGGGCAAGCAAGTCTTAGGCCCCATCCACACTACTCCGTTTTAGTTTAAAAACAGAGAATTAATACGAATATGATGTCCGTCCATACCAGCGTTTTAGCTGCGTTTTAGAGTTGATCTCCGTCTATGTTAAAATGACTGACAACGCACGTCGAGTGGCCATTCACATAAACTGGGCAGGCACGTGCCGGTGTAAACATGAAGCAGATAGTCTATTCCGTTGTTACAGATTTTGGCAAAATAATAAAGTACTACAGACAAAGAACCATACCAGATTTTATTTTTCATGGACCAATAAGCTGGGACTGTTACTGAATGGGAGTTGTTGCAAAGTAAATACGGTCACGTACACAGTACAAGTGTAGGCAGATGAGTATTATTTGCACAGTACGGAATATTTCAATAGAAATACCAAGTGAAAAACTCATTGTGTGTCTGCTTTGCATGACTTATAAGACCCAATCAGAGAGCCAAGTGTGAGCATCTGCGTCATCGTTTCCTGTCCTCACTAAAACACCCTCTGGAGTTTCAAAACGAAAAACGGGGTCGGCAGCGTTTTCATACTTCTCCGTTTTAGGTCTTCGTTTTCGCCGTTTTAGTCTGGACAGGAGGTGCAAACATAGCAAAACGTCTCCGTTTTAAAACGAAAAGGCAGTAGTATGGATGGGGCCTTAATTGGAGCTTAATTGGAAAGTGAAAATTCCAGTTATTCAGCTGTGATAGTTTCAGGTGATGATGTGAGGTAATTAAGATACCTTTAATTCCTTCAGTAACAGGGAACCCTGCAGGGAAAGTCACAGGAAAGAGGTGACTTGAATCACTGTTGTCTGATAAGATTAAATGATTCAAGAAAATGAGCCTCTTAGGCCTATGGTTAGACAGGGGCTTAAATAACATTTATAAACAATATTATAGTAAATAAGTAAATGAGACTTCCTGGTGGTGATACAGGAATAAGAAAAAGTAATTTGTCATTTACAGTCATAGTCTTGTAAAATTACATGGCTGCATTTGTCCAAAATATTTCAGTGCAACAGCTGTGTCCATCCAAATCTGTTTAGGGGATAAGAGGAGTGATTACCGGAATTTCTTCTGCCCTTGCAAACATAATTAGTGTCTTTAATGTCTCCTAATATTAGTTTCCCAGTCTTTTGTGCTTTTTCATGAGTGCAACCACAGTCAGTTAATATTAAATCAGATATATTAGGCAAGTAAATTAATATATTCTTAACAGATTAAGTTTGAGGGGTTTTAATACCACAAACTTAAAATCCATTATAGAGAAAGAAACACCACTATAAAGTCCAATTATTTAACAGAATGTCTAACCTCATCACTTGTTACAGTAGTCTTTCAAAAGAAAAAAATCAACAGTAAAAACTATGGGCTTTACACACACTGATGACATCTCATCTCATCTGTCAACTGTCATCACTCATTTGTAACTCAAACAAATGAGATAAACTCAATCCGAAACACATAAATGGATTATGTTTAAGTCTCTCTTGGCCACAAACTCAGCGATGAAATCCTTGTAATCCAGTCTGAATGCAACTTCTTTCAAATGATAGTCTGTCCTGCGACATGGAGGTGCACAAATAGTTTTTAATTACTTTCAGCTTTAGAAAGCTTTTTTTGTCCAATGCCAACGATACTGAGTAGTCAATAGGATCCTGAGTGCAAACTGAGTGCAAAGTTGCGGAATTACTTCAATCCTTTTGAGCAAATGATGAACATCGTCATAAAAAATTCTCTATATATAAAAAGCTTCAGGATTGCAGACCAGGCTCGAGGCCCACACGTCACACAGGTTCTGATTCAAGTAGCCTGTAATACGTGCAAGTTTGAGGTCCTTGTACGGTGTGTGGTCCTTTTACGTGAGTATGTTCATTTTATGCTACTAAATACTTTTTATTCATTGCAAATTGAATTAAACAATTAGTTTTTACTCCACTAAATATATTTAACAGATAAATATATTACTCAAAATAGATATCATATAGAATGCATATTTATAGATTAAACTTTGAAATTTTTTGTATAGTTAATATAAACACCAGCAAAAAAATTAAAAGTTACTTACATGTTAAAGTATCATTTACAGTATTCCAATGATAGGCTATTTTGCATTGATTTCAGTAACACTTTAGTTTATTTAATATATAATATTATTATTTAATATTCACAAGGTATCAATAAAAAAACTAATTGTGTAACTCTACTGAGACAAATAGAAGGGTTTACCTTCTTATAGTTGTAAAATGTCAATGATTTTAAAATGATGATACAATACAGGGAACAGTAGTTAATTAAGGAGCTAAATACACAACTTCACTCACAGACAAACTTAAGTGATGTGTATTGGACAATATAAAATGTAAAGAATAGTGGTTTTTGCCAACTTATTTTTACCCAGTATGTTTATATTAAATAATTACAGGGAAAGGACCACTTTAGTCCGCATACCTGTAACTACACTGTAATTACAATGAAAAGAGGGTAAACAAAAGACTACAGTATTTTAAAGCCCACATTGCTCAAACTTAGATGGTAATATGAAAGCTTTCTCACACATTTTCACTGCTTTGTTTTGATTGTAACCAAAAAGAATCATTACCTCGGCTGGAATTCATCAGGCATGCTTCAAAAACATACACAGAGTAATTTTGTTTAAGGTCATCCTTGAATATAAATTTTTTAAAACCTTTTGAAACAAATTGCCTCGTTTCTGTAAATACCCAGTAACAAGTAAATGCGCAAATGTAAATTATAGAAATAATTTCACACCACTATTGATATGGGTGGCAGCACAACAATGGCATAGTGATGCAGTTTCAGCTGGAACCATAAAAAGTCTGTATGATATCTGGTGAGTACAACAAAACACATAACCAGTAGCCAAAAGCGGTACTCAAGTAAAAGTACTGTTACCTTGCAAAACATGTACTCAAGTAGAAGTAAAAGTTGTCATCATTTACTAAAAAAATACTTGAGTAGCAAGTAACTTAGTGAGTAACTTAAGAAAAAAAAAAAAACATGGGTCTTTTCCCCCCAAGTCTTTTATTTGACGTGGATGTGACTAAAATTATTTCAGATGGTAAAGAAGTGAACATACACTTGTATTTATTTTTGACGAAATGACAAATCACCATCTCCTGATTAGATAACCCGCCACATTTACACCAGACAATATTCCCTGTATGTATCCATCAAGTGTGATTACAAAATATTGAATTAATATTATAGTTAGTTCTCCAATAAGTAAAAATAAATAAATAAATCATTTTCTTGTTATCTCCGATATTAAATTATGATTTGGCAAACAAATCAAATTAGGAGATAATGCTGTGATGTTTCATAGTTTATTGCCTATTAAATACAGGTTTGTTCACCTCTTCACTTTTACCTGAGGAGGATCATCTCTGGTTGAAACATTACATCAGTCACATCCACATGAAATAAGAGTAGTTTGTCTTTATTGTGTGTGCATAATTTCGTCTGTTTTCAACAGACTACACCAATGAGCATAACTAATGCAGACTGCTTGTACACTGTTAGCTTGATTATTTCCATTAAGGCTTTTAAGCATGATATACTGCGTGTAGCCATTTATTTTTAAAATATTAGCATTAACACAACAGACACTGCTCTCTGTCAGCTCAGTGTCAGCACGCTGTAGCCTACTGACTTCACAACCAACCTGCTTTCTCGGTTCCTTGGAGCGGCCACTATTCTGTGAAGTGAAGAAATCAGGTCGGATGCATGCTCACGATTCTCTTGCCTACTAATTCTGAACGATACACACAGCAACAACACTGCAGCTAACACAATTGAGTCAGCTAAAACCATAAAACGACCGGCTCCCAGCACAACACAAACTCTACATAAGGAGAAAATACAACAAAAGGTTTTATGTGCTGAAGCCAAAGTTTTTATTTTAGCCTGCAACTAATGATTATTTTCAATATGGATCTGCTGATTATTTTCTCCATTAATCGATTTTCTAAATTGTGAAAATAGTGAGAAATGCCGTCACAATTACCCAGAGCCCAAAGTAACACCTTCACAATGCTTGCTATGTATAACCAAGCTCAAAAAAAGTTCAAAATTATTACAAAAAAAATTTAATTTAAAGATTAATTTAAAAAACTATTTTAAAGGAAAAGCCTCCCTGTGTCTCCACAGGTGCTCCAGCTTCCTCTCAGAGTCCAAAGACATGCAGGTTTATTGGTGACTCTAAATTGTCCTAGGTGTGAGCATGAGTGTGAATTGTTGTTTGTCTATGTGTTGTCCCTGCGATGGACAGGTGACCTGTCCAGGGTGTCCCCAATGCCAGCTGGGATTGGTTCCAGCCCCCCATGACCTTGCACACCGGATATGCGGTTGACGATGAGTTTGGGTTAAGTGAAAAGGAAAAGCAGCATCTTTTTTCCATGAAAAATGTCTTAGTAATGTTGCAAGTTAATTTCAGTGTCACTCTAATATTCATTTCAGTTGTACTTGTGAAAAATGTTGGGTAGTTTAATTTATTACAAAACATAATTTAGTGAATCTTCATATGTTTTGCCTGTAAAAAATATTAATTGGTTAAGTAACTGTAACTAAAATTGTCAGATAAATATAGTGAGGTAAAAAGTACAAAATTGCCCTTGCCCCTGCGATGTATTGGAGTAGAAGTAGACAGTGGCATGAAAATAAAATTGTCAAGTAACGTACAAGTACCTGAAATATGTACAATACTAAAGTAAATGTACTTTGTTAGTGATAATTAGTAAATGGCCATTTTACTAGAGGGTACTTTTGAAGAATACAGCCGTCATAGCACCCACAGCAACTTGGATAATGCAGGTGAAGCTTTCCCATGTCACAAACCAAATGAGATTAGAGGGGCCCCTCCGGTTGTTCCACTAAATTGATTGGCTCAATTAGCTCTGACATGCCCGAAAACGTCTCCAGAATGACAGTTCACTTAAGGGACAGCAGTGGTTTACCAAAGCTGGATAATGGTTTAATCCGGTGTATCAGTGCTTTTCTCAAGCGCACGTCCATCAAAGGAAACCGCGTCACAGGTTTGTCAAGACCTCAGTGTGGGACTTCCAATGAGGAAAAGGATATCTGACAACAAGAAATCTGTCAACTTTTCCTCTATTGTCCTTTGTTTCCACATTTCTTTATGTAAGTAAGTGCTTAAAGAGGTGGTATTATGCTCATTTTCAGGTTCAAAATCCTATTTAGGGGTTGTACCAGAACCAGAAAAAAAAACACCTTTTTCTTCACACTGCACATTGCTGCAGCTCCTCTTTTCACCCTGTATTGAAGGCTTCGTTTTAGCTATGGAGTGATACATCTTGTCTCTAAATGATCTTTGTTGGGAGTTGCAAATGCACAGTTCCTAGTTAAGGACTACTAGCCAATCAAAAGCAGAGAAGGGCAGGTCAGTTAGAAGCCAGTAAACAGCTTTGATTCAGCTATAGGCTACATGTTGCCAACCAGTTTATATGAGGAGCATTTAGCTTTCATCCCTGAAGGATGAAAGTGAAGCAGCTGGACTACAAACGAGCTGTTTTCAGGCAGTTCAGAGCAGAGCTTTCTGTGGGAGATGGGAACTCCCTTTGGGCTGGACTTTGGGCTTTTTCACTTTGCACACCTGTTACATGCACAAAAAAGGTATATAACTCAATAAAGGAGAGGGAAAAAGCAAATAACCCATAATACCACCTCTTTAAGTGTAGAACAATTTTTGAGGTCGTGTGAAGTAGTCTGTAAGGCAGACTTTTCTTATTTTCGTATAAATTTACATTGCTTCCAAGATGGGTTTTGTTTTCACCCCTTGTAATGGAAATTAACTCCTACTTCAAGAGTAGTCCTGTGTTTTGAAGGTAGATCTGGAATTCCGCTAGTTCTGAACTATTCATGTTTGGTAAAAGCTCACTACTAGCAGAACTCAGATTTGCTTCCAACTGCCAACAGGAATCTTCATTACTGTTTTACACACTTCTACATGTGTAGTGAAAGTTTATTATTCTTGTGAAGTGAACTGAACCCACCTTTGCTATTCATATGGTCTTTTGTGTTCACTTCACCTCAGGTAATAATCCTAATCTCAGATTAGTGTGTTATATGTGTATTTTGTTGAGTGTTGTTGGAATGACTAGAATCTTCTTGTTTTCTCTTTGCTTTTCTCTACAGCACAGATAACTCCTGATGGCCAAAAACCCAGAAGCAAGCGAATAATTCTTGCCTAAAAATGAAAATTAATTCATTTGTTGTATTCAAAGATATGTGCATGTTTGCCAAAATTCCCTCTAAACTCTTCAAGGCAAAGTCTATAAACCAGTTAACCATGTACCCTCAACCAACACATTCTCACTCCTGACTCGTCACATATTGACACTTGGTCAAGACCCCTTGGTGTCGCTTTTAACCGCCCTGGGTACCCCTTTAGCGTTTTTCGATGTTCGAGGCTCCGAGGTCAAGTTAGCAACGGTTAAAAACATTAAATGTGCCACGTCAGGTTAGACTCCAACTACCTTCTTACTCAGTCTTTTCAGTTAAATATCATACCTTTACTTTTCAAAAGTGACACTACAGGGCTTTCCACACTGCGTTGATCTATCACGCAATGGGGATCCCCAGTGCGTCACAAACTGACGCTGACAGGTCTTAACAATGAGTCTATATGTAACAAGTTGGGAGTGAGAAAGGGTTGCCTTCGACAGTGCCTGCAACAGTGTGGTCAGCAGATAAGAATTACTGAAAGCCTGGATTAAATCTGAGACTGGGTCACTGTCTAAAACTGGCATAATTTGAGGCTCAGTTATCATGAAATGTGACCATACAAATGTGAGGTACATTTACATTCAGATTGAAATGGTTTAAGGTGTGGATTGAGAATCAGTAACTATAGATCTATTGTTACAAATAAACCTTTTTCAGTACCAGGGCACAGTCACCCAAACCTAGCTACTGTCCATAATACTATGTCAACACCCCGTGTTGATGTTTTTTTGGTCAGTTCTACTAGAGAACTTCTAGCCCATATAGTTTCTTTTAAATGTCTAAAAGGCATCTTACTAAACACATTACCAACAATGATGAGGAAAATGGTCAAGGTTCTAATAGCACATTTTGATCTCTGCACTGGCAGTTATATAAAAATCACCAAAAGAAAATGTTTAATATGCTTGTTTTTTTTAATGTTCATCTGGAAAAAAAGACCAGATATAATGATTAATTTTCTTTATATATTTTTTGATTTTCCATTTGCCAGAAAGCTATATTTACTAAAAAAAAAAAAAGAAACAACAAGTATTTACTGTACAAATTAAAATGGTTCTCAGTTTTTTTCCAAAAGGGAGAACATGGAGGTTTATGCAGGAGACACAGAGGAGACCTCTGTCTTTGATGTGGATACTTCAGAGCCATCATCTGCTTCTTTGCCAAAGAGCTGCATGATGCATGATCGGAACTATAAGGTACAGAATAAGAAAACATTTAAAAATATAAACCAAACACATTTGATGTAGATATAGAAATGTGATCACTGTGACAATGAGATTGCTGTGCCCACCTGTCGGTTCATGAAGACATAGATGACTGGGTTCCAGATGGTGGCGCTCTTGGCAAAGTATGCAGGCATGGAAGCAGCCAGAGGATGGAAGGCATACCCAGGATTAGCCGCAGCAAAGCAGGCGAAAAAGGTGTAAGGTCCCCAGCAGAAACAATATGCAAAGATCATGATAACAACCATCCTGGAAACTTCTCTCTCAGCTTTCTGTGTTGACTCTGATTCCTTCTGCTGCATGGCAACCTGCGGTCGACAATCCAACACAGTGTGAGATTCTGCCAGACTGTGGTCTATACCAGGCTATATAAAGTACAGAACTGCAGGTAAGATAACTTACAGCACGGATAGCCATCCAGACTGCAAGGTAGCAAAAGATGATGATAGCCAGAGGAATGAAACAACATGTAATCATAAGAACAATCATGTAGGACTGGACTCCAGGATCTTCACTTCCACTGAATACATCAGGTCCACAGGAAGTCTTCAGTCCATGAGGCCAGTACCTGATGCAAGAAAATGTTTGGTTTACATTCCCACTGATAAATTCACAACTCAGGTTTTGGAAGATATAAAACACCAGGCTACCTGCTCCATCCGAAGACGGGGGGAGCACACCAGATTGCCGACCAGACCCAGGAGAACACTATTCCACCTGTGGCCCACTTTTCATCAAACTTGACATTTCCAAAAGGTTTGCACACAACTATCCATCTCTCCCATGAGATGATAGTCAGAGACCAAAGACCAGTGATGCCTGTGTAAGAAATCAGGATACTCAGTAAATGTGTTTATTCACACCCTGATAATTAATGTCTTGACAAACTGTTCCTAAATACTTTAACATCAAAGATGAAAAACTGTGAACACTTACCGCAAGTTGCGACGGTGAAGCCCTCAAAGACGCACATTGGGTGTCCCAGAATGAAGTAGCCAAAAAACTGGTTGCATACACTGATGGTGCTGGCAAGAAGTGTCTCTGCGAGATCAGCAATGGCAAGATTGACCAAGATCCAGTTCAGAGGGTGACGGAGTTTCTTGAACTTTGCTGTGGCCACCAAGACCAGACCATTGGTGACGGTTGATAAGACGACCACACAAAACATCCAGAATGTTGCGAGGTTGTAAGTCCACCGAGGAGCAATGTGGTAATTGGGACCCTCAAAGGGATCTGGGGAAAAAGCAACAATGTCATACATAGTCTCACAATTTAGAACTGTACAAAATTATTTTGTAAGATATTGAAAGCCACACAGTAGACTACTTCCACATACTTAAATGAGGTAAAACAATTGCTGTAATTTTGTATACGCCACTGTACACTTTTGTTTTGAGTTGGCTCACAAATTTGAAAATGAGAAATTCATATTATTCACGTTTGAAATGTAAAAATATACAGTATGTTAACAGAATTCCAAAGTCCATTTTGTAAAAAAAAGCTGGCAAAAGTTTTCACTCTGACTGAAAGTCTTGCCAGACTTATTAATGACATTCTTTGTGGTAGTTCCTTTCATTTGTTGCAGTCTCTCATATAATTAACATGCCCAACATATTATTCATCCATCCTGTATAAAAATGAAATGACAATACTGTACCTCTGGTATTATTGCTGTTTGTGTAAGAAAAGGCATTTCCTCTTGTTGTTTCTTCATTATGGCGCCGGGCAGCAAATACCTGTTTTCCCCACTCTTCTGCCATTGTGATTTTAGGAGGAGGTCCTCAGCAGTCAGCCTTTCTTGTCACTTGGAACCTCCCTAGGTGACTGGTGCTTCACATCTGATTGTAGCTTTTATACTTAATGCTTCACAGACTCCTGACAGGATTAGATCACAATGAAATGACAGCAGTAGTTTGCTGCTTGGCAGTGATTTTCAGGGACAAGCCTTAGCAAATGTATTTTGAACGGTAATTAAAACTATCAGCCAATTAGGTTAAGACACAAAGGTTAAATAGACACAAAATGCCAATTGATCTAGTTGGAAAGCGGATGTCCGTCCACTCCATTAAAATGGGGATTAGCTGTGAGACCTTTGACCAACACCGAATTGTCATTATGGGCCATCATTTGCCTCCATGGAATCCTGGTGTAACCAATATCTTTTTTTTTTTCTTTTTTTTGGCAACTATAGCAGTGCAGAAATGAATAAGCAATAAAGAAACTCCGTATCAAATGATAGCTTCAAAGCAAGTGTTTATTTTATAATACTTTGAGATGCAGAGTAATAATTCTACATTGGGACATTTAATATAAAGAATTGCACCAGTTGCATAATAGTAAGTTAATTTGGGAAATTTAAACAAACACAGCAGAATTGTGCGAATCATTTATGTTCATTTTATGATCATGTTTGATGGTATTGTCCTGATTAAGTTTATGTGGTGGACATGAGAGGGCAGCCAAGTCTTAAAGCAGCTTAAAAGGTGGTGATCCACGAACATATAATGGCTACAGTTGCAGTTGACATGTGAGGGAGGTAAGACAACTTTAATCCCTCCGGAATCACAGGTCAATTCAGAACATGGGATTTTTCAACAATCCCTTGATCCTACAACTCACGTCATAGTCCTTATGGCAAAGTCAAAGTGGAGAGGGTAATGCTCCCTGAGTTATGGAATGACTTAAAAAGTAAAACACTTTCAGAAGGATGGTGTGATTAATTACAGTTGGCTAAAATAACAGTTAACAAAGTAAGCTTGAATATTGCACACAGTAGAGTGCAGATATCCACCAGACCTGTTATCAGCAAATGGTGTATATATTGTATTGAGATGTATCATTTTACACAAATGTCATTGAGAAAAAAAACGCTAGTGTGCTTGCTCTATGGGCCACTCGATCTGGGTAATTTTATACCAATACAATAAAATAAACCGACATTAAGGCAGTGTAGCGGTGAAAAAGACATTTTTACATTATGCGTCCAAAATCTTATTGCTGTTTATTAATTGCTTTCATTTACTCCAAAGCAAAGGTTTGATTTGCTTATGGCAAAAATCTGATCATGACAGTGTTAATATAAGCTTGAAGCAGTTTTACAAACTGTGAGGTTTCAGTAGGGGTTTTGTTGTGAATTTCAGGTATATGAAGGCCTACGTATATGCTGTGCACAGATTTCTTAGTAAAGTGACAGTGGGTGACAGCTGTGTCTGTCCAAAGCTCTTCAGATAGTGTAATGTTAGGGAATAAGGGCAGTAGGTGATTAGGGAAATTCACATCACATTCTGACTTCCTTTTGTCATAGTCATGACAGCCAGTGATAGACTAGTGATCGCTCTTGCATTCTACTGTTCTAAAGTCCTCAGTATGTACTTAAAAAGAAATGCAATCTATTATCACACAGTGTTTACACAGAGACTGACCACTGTGTAGAAACGTGAAAGTAGGTCAGATAGCTCTTGTCTCTTAAGCTCTCATTTCTAACTGTTCACACAACCAGGGATGGGAGGATTACTTTAATCCAGTACAATTACTAATTACTTCTTAAAAATGTAATCAGTAACGTAATCCAAGTACCACAAAATAAAAGTAATGTAACCTGATTACTTTTAGTTACTTTTGGTTTACTTACAATACCAAATACCCAAATAAAGACAAGAGCGTATCAAAGATGCCTTGTCTGCTCAGTGGATATCTACAGAAACAATTACATGCAGTGGGTGATTAAAACTGCTCAGAAGATCATTGGTACCCATCTCCTGAGCATCAGTGTTATCGGTGAGGTGAGGTACCTATGCAGAGCCCAAAGGATAATAAAGGACAGTACCCACCCAGCCACAGACTGTTCACTCTGATGTCTTCTGGGAAGAGATATAGAAGTTTCAGCTGCCGCACCACCAGACTGCAGAGCAGCTTTTTCCCCTAGCTATCACACTCTTAAAGTAAGTAAGTAAGTAAGTAAAGTTTATTTGTATATTCACAATAACATGTAATACAATACAACAAATTAAAATACAATGCATAAGAAAATTTAAAAACAAAAGGAAAAACATAGAACAAAATCCCTCATCTAACTAAAAGCCTGCTTGAATAGCAGAGTCTTCAGTTGCTTTTTAAAAGAATCGACAGAATTCACACAACTTAGAAAGGGAGACAATGCATTCCACAGCCTAGGTGCCACTGCTTGGAATGATCGATCCCCTCTGTTTTTAAAATGAGTGTGGGGTGTGGGGAACCACTAACAACCTCTGACCTGATGACCTCAAACTACGGGTCAGAGTATGAAGCTGTATTAACTCAGAGATGTAGGGAGGAACTTGACCATGCAGGGCTCTAAAAGTAAGGACCAGGATTTTAAATTGAATTCTATACTGGACTGGTGGCCAGTGAAGTGATGCTAAAACAGGTGTGATGTGCGCTCTTTTGTTAATGTGAGTTAACAACAGAGTTCTGAACAGCCTGGAGATGGTAACGCTCATTCTTGCTCAAACAAGTAAAAAGGCTGTTACAGTAATCTTAACGAGAGGAAATAAAAGCATGAATGATCATCTCCAACTCACCCTTTGACACCAGTGTTCTTAATTTGGAAATATTTCTCAGTTGGAAGAATCAGTTTCTGACTTATTGTTTAGAGTGGTACTCTAAGGACATCGCTGAATCAAAAACAACACCTAAGCTCCTGAGGCTCTGCTGACGAGCCTAAGTCATCAATATGCTGCTTTATCTGAGGGATGCTACTTTCAGGGGCGATAATTAGTGTTTCTGTTATCTCTGAGTTCAGAAGCAAGACATTGTCACATAACCACTGTTTGATACTGGTCAAACAGTTAATTAAAGACAATTTATGGAACTCAGTTTCCTTGAACGAGCAGTACAGTTGAATATTATTTACATACATTGTAAGATATTCACTGAATTGACTAATAATCTGTTCTAGAGGAAATATATACAAAAGGAACAGGATGGGTCCCAAGACAGAACCCTGAGGTACCCCACACGACAACCCTGCAGTGCCAGGCATGATCTGATTCACATAAACACTAAAACTTCTACCAGAAAGGTAGGATGAAAACCATTTAAACTCAGGGTGCAAATTATACAATCACAACCGGGGGGTTAACGTTTTTCCAAGTCCTAAAGGATTCTCAGTACAGCGCAGGTGTGTGCATCAGTGAAATCTTACAATACTTACAATATCCTTGCTTATTTAATTAATATATGCTGTCTGTGGATGATGATAAACCAAATTCATCATACCAGTTGATGGGTTCCTATACCACACAACAACTTCTGTAGTCAGAGGTCACCAAGTATTCTAGGGCAAAACTGCAAGAAAGTCAGACCTGCACACACATCAACAGGCCATCATGACCGCTCAAAACAGACCCACTTGATGCTGAACCAGAACCAAAGACACTATCATAAAAAAAAGGCTCTAATTCCTATCCTTTCAAGTTACTCTTTTTAGCAAATATCTCCTTTCCTCTCGCTCATGTTGATTGTGAATGAAATAATAATAAATAATAAAGCAGTAGTCATTCATTGTTGGGGAACTGGGAATTGTGGGGAAAAAAACAGAGTACAGTCTACACCTCTTCTATATGAAAAGTGCAATGACATGACTTTTGTTATGAATTGGCGCTATATAAAAATAACTGAATACATCTGAAATAACAAACCTGGATTTTAACATTTACCTGGGCAGGTAAAACTCCTGAATTCCAGAGTGAAAACAAATGCTATGATTATTGTAAAAACACTCACAAAAGACTTACAATAAAATAATAAACTCTATATTGATGTCAAACTGTATCTCTACCATAACTAATCCTCAATTTCAGTACTCATGCCTAAGCACCAGTATTAACTAACAATTACATAAAATATTAAATGACATAATGATAATGAAATGATAGAGTGGACTATCAGCTAGCTAACATCAGATAGCTCATTTTAAGTAAAAGAAATGCTAAATACGAAACTCTGAAGGTAGGAGAGTTGTGTATTAAACAAGCTAGATAGTTAGCGTGTGATGCAGTGGAACAGCAGCAGCTGTGAGTGACGCAGCCAGACAAGACCTTCAACTACAGTCAACGTTAGGAAATGGTATGGTCCATTTTAGGGGTGTCAAGGGGTTCAAGATTCTTAAGTATAAGGCATAAATATATTGAAATATTTACAATTACCTCTTTTGGTCAGAACCTCAGAATCCCAAGACCCATTCTATCACAGTTGTTTGGAGAGGCAGTCTGCACGGCCATGGAAGTGAATGGAACACCTGACTTCAATGATTTAGAGGGGTGTCCCAATACTTTTGTGTATTTAGCGGTTTTGGATTTCAATATTCATAGAAGACTGGACTATTTGCATTGGAAGAGGTCTGCGCTCTCCAGGTGCCCTTCAAATTTCCCAGGTTTTTAAGTTGTCCATGATTTTAAAACTGCATCAATCCAGTGTACAGCTAATTTACAAAACAAATGTTTTGAAATAATTCCACTTTGATGTTTTTATCTCTTATCCTTATCTAATGTTGATGATCTTTAATTGTACACAGTTGGCTATTTTAGTAGAATGATTCGTCTAAATCCAAATAGGTCAGGATGTAGTAACCGTGCTCTGCCAGATGGGTCAGAAATTACAACTTTTTAAAGCTATAT